ACAACATAGATCCTATACCTAGAAAACCCAAGAAACTCAGTAAAAATATCTACTGGAACTAACTGAGAGATTTAGCATCATGTCAGGACACAAGATCAACATGCAAAAATCAGTTGGATTCCTTTACACCAGCAAAGAGATTGCTGAAAAAGAAATAAGGAAATCAATACCATTTACAATAGCCACTAAAAAAATTAAATATGTGGGAATAAAGCTTACCAGGGACATAAAAGACCTGTACAAAGAAAACTATAAAAGACTACTTCAAGAAACCATAAGAGATCAACATAAATGGAAGAACATACCATGCTCGTGGATAGGAAGATTGAACATTGTGAAAATGTCAATTCTACCCAAAGCAATCTATACTTTCGATGCAATCCCAATCCAGATCCTATCAACATTCTTTAAGGATATGAAAAAACCAATCACTAACTTTATATGGAAAGGAAAGAGACCTAGGATAAGCAAAGCACTATTGAAGAAGAACAAAGTAGGAGGTCTCACACTGCCGGATCTCAAAATCTACTATACAGCCACAGTAGTCAAAACTGTCTGATACTGGTATAATGGCAGACATACAGATCAAGGGAATAGAATTGAGAACCCAGAAATAGTCCACTGACCAATGGTCAGCTGATCTTTGACAAAGGGCAGAAATCCATTAAATGGGGAAGAGAATGTCTGTCTCATAAATGGTGCTGGCAAACCTGGATATCCATTTGCATGACCTGTACCTCACATCACACACAAAAACTAACTCCAGATGGATCAAAGACTTAAAAGTGAAACCTAAAACTATAATATTCCTCAAGGAAAAACTAGGGGCAAATTTAGGTTAGGCAACCTACTTCCGTTGTGATACCACCTCTGAATCCCAAGCAGGGGCCACTATGAGTCGGGTCTGACTTGATGGCACATAATAACACAACAACAACAATAATGGCATAAATAGACTATCAAGCATAATCTAAAATGCACAAACAGCTGAAGATAAGCTAGATGAATGGGACCTTCTAAAAATTAAATTTTCTGTGCTTCCAAAGACTTCTCCAGAAGATTCAGAAGAGAAACTACAGATTGGGAAAAAACATTCAGCAATGACGTATCTGACAAAAGACTTATCTGTAGAATTTATAGAAAACTCCAACACCTCAACAACAAAAAGACAAATAATCCAATTAATGGCCAGAAGACACAAATAGACATTTCATCAAAGAGGGTATTCAGGTGGCCAACAAACATGTGAAGAAATGCTCACAATCATTAGCCATTGTTGTTGTTGTTGTTATGTGCTGTCAAGTCAGACCCGACTCATAACGACCCCTCCTTGGGTTTCTGAGGCAGTATCACTAAGGAAGTAGATTGCCCCATCTTCCTTCCCAGGAGCGACTGGTGGGTTTGAACCTCCAGCCTTCTGGTTAGCAGTCAAGTGCCTTAGCCACTATGCTACCAGAGCTCCCCATTAGCCATTAGAGAGATGCAAATCAAAACAACAATGAGATACCATCTTGCCCCAGAACTAGTAGCAAAGTTCAACAAGACAGAAAATAACAAATGCTAGCAAGGATTCGGAGAGATTGGAACTATCATACACTGCTGGTGGGACTGTAAAATGATACAACCACTGTAGAAAGCAGTATAGTGATTCCTTAACAAGCTGGAATTAGAAATACCATTTGACCCAGTAATTCCGTTACTAGGTATATATCTTTAAAAAGTAAGAGCCAGGACAAGAACTCCATAAGGTCATCTTTACTGTAATTTCTGGAGGAGAAGATCACCAGGCCTTTTTTCTTTAACCCAGGTTTTGATGGATTCATAATGTAAGTTATAAGGTTCTTAAATACAAGTTATTTATTAATTATGGAAAGATAAATTTTAATATGAATATCAGTCATTTCTCAATATTTAATAAACTGAAATAATATCACATCTAAGATCACAAATTGCATATAATTTGATGTCTCCAAGAAAAGATTTGTATTTTGAGACAAATTCCCTAAATTAATGATACTAGAAAATACCATCATACAAAACTTTCACTATTACTTTATAAAATTTGTAATAAGCTGTGAATAGTAGCAAAGCTAAATGGATAGTCTTCGATGTGTATTATAGCTAGAGACAACCTCTCATCCTTCATGTGCCTTTAGATCCCACAGGCTGGAGAGGCCACAGAAGTAGGAATCTAAGGGCAAAAGAAAAATCAACTAGGAGTCTTGAACATGCCAAAAATTAACTGCATGATTTTGTCTAAGCACTTCTTTAAGGTGTCACATTTTTCAATCTCCTTAACTGAAAATTAAAGGTCTACAAAGTTTTATAAGATTGTTTTGACTCAGAAACACTAGTTTTCTATAATTCTTATGAGTCTCGGTTTTAATTATCAGGAACAACTCCTCTCATTTCTATAACATTTATAATTACACAGCACTGCACATACCCTTACTTAATCATTTTAGTAATCCAGTGATCCATTATTACCTCAATATAAGATCTGAGAAATTCAAGCTTCAGAAACACTGCTTTGTCTAAGATTTCTGGTGTACAACTAAAAATGAACAGAACTTTGACCCAAACCTAGGTCTTGGAATTTAGGATTTGTGTTGTTTTGCTTTTTGTTTTCAAACCACACAATCCCTGGTGATAAAATTAAGCTCATTGCCTCCTAATGTGGGTGGAACCTTCCTGCCTCACTCCCACAAACCATATATGTCATCATCAGTGCTGAACCCTCCATAAGGCCTACTAGGTGTGCTGGGTGTGGGGGCTTCTAAAGGCCCAAGTACCACCAGCTCCTGGCCAAAATCCCAAGTTTCAGTCAAACACTTGGCTCCCATCTAAAGGAGGGCAGTGCTCCTCCCAGTATCAGCTGTGCAGAGCTGACAACTGAACCCTGGCTCCTTCTGTCAGCTCCATCCATACCTGACTCGCCAGGCTTCTGGCTACTCTTCAATTTCTCTAATCATTCATGTTTAAAATGCTGATGAACTTTATTTTTTCTCACATATCCAACCAGACATCAATGTTACATTTAAAATCAGGCTCTATAGTCACTGTTCTCTGGCTATCACACTACTTCATTTTCCTTAACTGTTCCTTATAATGATGCAATGTCTACCAACATATATTTTAAGCTGTAAATCCTCTGTCAATACAAGGTACTGGTAGTGTTGTTACTGACACGATGCCCTGTAGTTTTCTACCATCCATACACCTTGCTTGGAATGTTCTTTCTTATCTTCACTTACCCAAATTCTACCTATCCTTCAAAGTTCCAAGACCTTTTCTCAACTCACATAAGAGCTCATTCTCCTGAAGTCACACTGAATATACTCATTTGATACTTAATAAAGCGTTTCTTCACGATACCTCATTTCATTCCATGGGACTATTATAACTCTTGTGCAATTGAACATTTCACGCTATCTTCTTCCAACTGTTTCATAAACGCTTTACATGTGCTCCTTGTGGCTCCTGTGCACGAAGCCTCAGGCATGGCCGAGCACAGAGATAATTCTATTCTCCCTCTTTTGGTATTTGATGTGAGTTCAATGGAAGCTACAGGTGCATACTAAGCTACCTCAGTCAACAGCTACAAGGCCTGGCCTTGGTGGGTGTCGATTTACTGACACAGCCTGGCAGGAGTATCTCCTGAAATTAGAGTAAGCGTGCCAACAAAGTAAGGACCATGGATGTCACCCTTCTTTCTGCCCAGTCTTCTTATAAATGTGTGCATTGCTTATAGGGGATCTTGGAAGAGCGTATTTCAGAGCAATCCCTCACTTTATTCAGAAAATAAATGCATATAAAAACTCTTGCCCAGAAAGAACTACGTATTTTGATGCAACCCGAATCAGTTTTTTAGGTGCCTGCTTATTTTTTGGAACAATTTTAGCTATCCCACAGAATAAAGAAGTAAGTTTTATTTCAAGGAAATAAAAGTACCCTGGATTAAAGTCCAAGGTCCCAAGCTGAGGTCTGGTTCATTTAAGGTTCTTTCCATCATTTCATGATGATGTCTTTTTATGGGTCTTGATATTTATTAAGTGGTTTTGGTGGTGGGTTTTTGTATTGGGTCTTAATAGTGTTTGATTTTATTTTGTTTTTAACTTTGTGAGGATAGGAGGCAAATGAAGCTAGGATGAAAAGTCCCTTTCCAGTCTTAGGTTACTATCAACTCAATTTCTATCCTAGAGAGACCACAAAATAGGGTGGAATGAGATTGAACTTTGAAGTTGGATACAACTGGGTCCATGGCCTGGCTACCTCATATGGTTGATGTGAGAATTAAATAAAATGCTTCCTAATTTTTATGGTGAATATAGTCAAAAGTTATATTATTTCAGAATGCTAGCTTCATGTATATATTTAATATTCTATTAGTTATGATTTAAAGGCTGCTTTTTAAAACTACAATCTATTCAGTCATTTACAGACTTCTATAGGAGTTGTGGTAAAGTCAGAACTATAAAAACAAAGAAAATTAAATACTGTCAATTATGTCATGCAATAAGGCAGCTGTACAATCCACAACAGTCACTTCTAACTTTGACCTAAATGATCTACAGTGGTTGTTTTAAGTCTTTAGAGAAAGACGAGTAGTGATAGTTTGCTACAGCTATGTCCTAGGAACATTCACTTCAAGTAATAAACCACCTAATTTGCTTTTAAAAACACCATTTGGCTGTCTTTGCCAAAAAAATTCACTGAAAAAATGAATATTCACCACTGACCCTGTGCTATAAGGAACATGGTCTAGGACATTCATAAACCATAATTAAATAACTTACAGGCTAATATAACAAACAAAATTTAGAAGAAAAGATGTCTCTCAATTAGCTAAGAGATGCTCTACGTATTACTTCATCTCAAGGGCTTAGTTAGGATCCAAGTATGAACATGTCCTCAAGAATAATTGTAAAAATGCACTGCTCACGACATGGCAACTACGACGGATGTCAGTTCAGGCATCCCCATACTGTGTCCAGACGCACCTTGATTCATCAGGACGAGGCTTCCTGTGAGCAAAGCCATGCAGTTGGTGGGTTGATGATTGTGCAGGTACTGAAATCCCCATCCCCTCCTGTATGAGGTTTCATACATATAGCCTGAGGCATTGGCAATCACTTCAAGAAACTTCTCCTGTTGCGTCTTGCTCAGGTAGTTGTACAAGAAGTCATAGGCAGTGGCGAAACCAACCAGGGAGTGAGCAAGTGGGACTTCATCCCAAGGAGCATCTTTTACTAACCTGTAAAGGGAAATAATGTAAGTGAATGAACAGGCCTCCCAACTTTCATCACACTACTGAAGCATCTATTTGTCAGAATTTAAGGACACAATTGAAGCTACAATCCAAGAGGTTTAACAACACAGCACTGACTTCACTCCATTTAAGACACAAGCATAAAGTTTGTCGAATGTGAAAATTACAGCATTAACACTTTATTCTCACAGGCTCCAGCAACAGCAAGATGTTGTGAATTTTAGTATTTTACTCCTGATGAAAGACAGAATATATTCAAAGAGATCTAAAGCACAGAACATGTAGCAGCAGGGCAAAATTCCCTTAACTTCCTACTTAACTCTTGCTCACCCCACACCCTTTTAGCTGCCTGGGAGGTTCTCAGCGTTATGCCATGGTTGCCTTGCTAAAACAGTTTAGTGCATATATTCTGTCTTATTTCCCACAGGCTGCTCAAGGGGAAGAGATCATGGTATATAGTTCTTAACTTCCCAATGTGGACAGACTTACTTGGTCAGCACCACAGTGGGGAGATGAGTAACAGGTTGGTGTGAGTCAGTGAGACGAGCAGGTTCTCAGAATTTGTCTCATTCATTCCCATAAAATAAACAGCACTGCCTTAAAGTTCTCAAAATATCTTTCAGAGAAGTCTAAAAGCTGATCTTCTGTGAAGTATTCAATTGTCATTTTCTAGGAAGCAAAATTTCTGCATGACTTGCTACTTTATCTTCCAAGTATTTTAATAGTGTGCTGTCTGCATGAAATAAGAAGCTACAAAGGAGCTTCCACCATTCGAACTCTATAGAGAGATCCAGAAAACCTGCCCCATCTGCTCAGGATGTATTTCAGCACCTTCTGAGGGAAACAAAGGAGGAATGCTCTGCACCTGTGGGAGGTGGAAGAAAGTTCTCGATAAGGGATTACACCAAGCTTAATATTTTCATGCCATAAACCTCCTCTGGCAATCTAGTAAAATCTTGGCCCTTTCTCAAAATGTTTAAAATTCATAAAACATAATATGTAGAAATACAAGGGAATTGATTATTCTGAAATATAAGTATCAATCCACATATTTTTTTAAAGTGTTGATACATGTGCTTTTTTATTAAAGCATTAATTAGTAAGCCTTAGTGGCAGGGATAGTACCTACCAGAATGGACAGGTAGTGATGAGCATAAACAGTATGTTGAGATTTCTACATGTGTAAAGATATAAAGATACCTATGATATCTATTCGTGACAAAGTTTCTGATTCTACAAACATTATTACATCATACGTTCATGATTGGGAAAAAGGCTAAATTTTCATTTATTGTCACTAAGATGTAGTATTTCCTCATACAAACCAGTGGACCAGGAGTTTGTGGAACCCAGATTAAGAATCCTTAACAATTTTCTAACTGACTATCTCTTCTAGAATGTATTTTTCTGTTAGGAGTTTATACTCAAGAAGTGATTTTATTTTTAATTTTTTTTTTTGTGATTTGGGTGAAAGTTTACAGAGCAAATCCATCTTCCAGGCAGCAGTTCACATACACTTTGTCTCATGACATTGACCACAATTCACCACAATGCAACAGCTCCCCTCCCACTTCCTCCCCATAGTTACCTCTTCCTAGTGTCTAGTGTCCTTCCCTTCCATGCACTCCTGCCCCCTGAGCTGTCTCCCTGTGCATACACAGCCCTTCTGTTCTCCTGTGATTGATCTCTCCAAGAAGTGTATCCACCTAATGTAAATGTTCAGCTCATATGCCTGTCTGTTGTTTGGCTGGAAGGCATAGGAGTAGGTTCAATTCCAGATTTGAAAGGCAGCTAGGGGCCATAGTCTCAGGGATTCCACCAGGCTCTATAAGACCAGCAAACCTGGTCCCCCTTTTTTTTTTTAGTGATTTTGAGTTTTGTTCCACATTGTTCTCCCACTCTACCTAGTATCTCCTACATACATCCCCCTCTCAGTAGCTGACAGTAGTAGTCGGGCACTATCTAGTTCTCCTGGTTTCATAGTCATCTAGGCTGAGGATCACACAGTGTACCAGTCCTTTGGACTAATTGTTTCCATGCGTCTTTGGTTTTCTTCATTCAAGAAGTGATCTTCTTAATGAGACCTCCCGTGGTCAGTTTGTAAGAATTTCATCATCACTCCCAATCAACAGTATTCCTGTCCGCTTCCTCACTGCAGAAAAAAGGCATGGAGGCCTCAGCATCTGACCTCCTCTGACTTCTAACTCCTAACTTCTAAGGGGGAAGACAGAAAGATAACAGCTTAAGGGTGATTCCTATGAGTGGAGGTCTGACGTGTCTTGACCCTTTTTACCAATTCTGACAACCATCCCTCCTATGGCACTCTCTTCTCCTCTTCTAGGTTCAATAATGGATTGCAATGGCCACACAGAACTTACAGACAACACTCAAGATTGTGGGATTTACTAGAAGTACAGTTTACGGTTCAGGATCAGAAACAATTTAGGATGCACTTCTTCAACTGGGACAGCTTCTCAGCCATGCTATATGCACACTTCTCTCTGGCCTCAGCTTCTGCCCTTTTCAAGCAAGTGTTACAAAGCTCCTCTAGCTCTGCCGATAGGTGTCCAAAGAAACAATCCACTCTACTAGCAAGCTTCCTGTCCAAAGGCATTCAGCTTTCTCACTCTGTGGGCTGGAAAACATGCTACTCTGTTCTCACGCTGGTCTCCTGGTTCTGCTGACTCTGCTGCTGCATCCCAGTCTCTTGCTATCTCAGCAAAGGTTACAGCTCTCTTTCTTTCTTCAGGATCCAGGAAGTTCAGCACAGGGATCTTGGGTCCAAAGGGCACTCTCCACTCCTGGCTCTTCTTTCTTAATGATAGCAAGATTCCTCCTTCTGCCACTGGGATGGCTCATTTTAAGCCTAAACCAAACAAAAACTTACTGCCATTGAGTCGATTCTGACTCATAGCGACCCCCATTGGGTTTCTGAGGTGGTAAATCTTTACGGAAGCAGGTTGCCCTGTCTTCCTTCCATGGAGTAGCTGGTGGGTTTAAATCACCAACCTTCTGGTTAGCAGTCAAATACCTTAGGCACTATGCCACCAGAGCTCCTTATTTCAAGCATAGTGGATGGCAAAACTGATGAATCCCCATGTTAGAGTTCGATACACATTATTTGCATGTTCTCACTACCATATGGGTGCCATGTACTATATTTATATTATTAGTAAACTATCCAATCCCCTTGGTGGGCCAAAAACACCTCACATCTGCATAGTCTCATCTAGTCATCTGATGAGAGTCAAAGACTATGGCTAGAAGGCTCACATTAAGTAATTCACTGCACTGCATTCACTTTTTTGGCCCCCTTAGTACTTACTACTATTTACACCAAATTTTACATATATTCCCCTACTAGAATTTAAGAGGGAGCTCTGGCAGCATAGTGGCTAAGGCACTTGACTGCTAATCAGAAGGCTGGCAGTTCAAACCCACCAGCCAGCCACTTCTTGGAGGAAGATGGGGCAATCTACTTCCACAGTGATACTGCCTTGGAAACCCAAGGAGGGGTTGCTATGAGTCGGGTCCGACTCGATGGCACTTAACAACAACAACAAGAATTTAAGAATCGGTAACAATTTTTTTTTTCCTGTTGTATTCACTATGGAATCCCTCATTCAAAAACAATGTGTGGCACTTACAAAAAAAAACAACAAAAAAAACACACTGCCATCGAGTCGATTCTGACTCATAGCAACCCCCACTGGGTTTCCCAGGCAGTAAATCTTTACGGAAGTAGATTGCCCAGTCTTGCTTCTGCAGAGTGGTTGGTGGGTTTGAACAACCAACCTTCTGGTTAGCAGTCAGATGCCTTAGTCACTGTGCTACCAGAGCTCTTTTGTGGCACATCATACACTCTTAATATTTTTAGAAAGAAAAAAGGAAAGATCTATGAAACTAGGTATTACTATTGATTACAAATATGTGATTATTATAGAATCATGAACCTGGAGCGATCTTTGTATATTTAACAATGTCGGGGTTGGTCAACTGTGCTAGGGACAGATCTTGGTAAAAATATTGTTGATGAGTTTCTTAATAATTTGGTCACAGACAAAGCTGTCTTGTCCAAGTCACTCATTCTGCCAGATTGCCTCAACAGACTGAGGGTGTGAATTAATTTCTTAGTTCTAGAAAAAATAAATAACTCACTCATCGTACATACCCATTGCCAGAGAGTTAGGAACAGAATTTTCACTGACTCATGGTGACTTGTGAGCCAGGCTAAGAATCCAAATTCTTTGTTCTCATGGTGCCTTTGCATCCTGTCATAAAGCATGTATAAATGACAGCTTATACTCTTAGCTGTGACAAAATTCATGCCAATGAACTACCACATCTACCAAATCTTCATGCATCTGATTACCCAATGAATTATTTTTATAGATAACCTAATATTTAATGTAACTGTCATCCTTCAGGAAATATTACTTCTGAAAAATAAAATTCTGGGGAAATGTAGAAGTTTGCTTATTTTAAGCAGATTCCATTCAACAAATTACCAACAGGTTCATCACTATCATTATGAAATCTGACCTATAATTGCTTATTTCTAAAAGGTTAATTAAATGCTTTATTGATATAATATTATCTAGCCTCACATACAAAGACAAAATACAACTAATGGAAGACAAGACTATTTTATGGTGAAGGAAATTTGCTCCTAGCTCACAGGTAGCAGAGAAAGGATTTTATTCAGGGTGATCCTGACCAGTGGTTAATCAATTCACTGGAAATGCTGGTTAATGGGGAATAAAAAAAAAAAAAAATCACATAGGCATTAATTTCATATGTACACATATTCACCAATCTTTTAAAGGAGAGCCAATGTCTTTTCTTTGAATATGAACATACTGATTGGAGTTACCTTGTTATTTACAACAGGGACTATATCACAATTTCTAGCACTGGTTTTCTTAAAATCTGTTGTTGTTAAGTCATCTCCGACTCATAGTGACTTTAAGTGCAACAGAATAAAA